AGCCTGCCACAGCCTACCGGAAGTGCCCCTTCCCATCACACAGCCGAGCCTGCCACAGCCTACCGGAAGTGCCCCCGAGGACACCACATTCTTTATAGTGTGAAATCCACACTTTGGGGAGCAGGAAGGAGAACAGCATACTGTAACTAGGGAAGCGGCGCTCTGTGGCGTGTGGAGCTTTGTGTTTCTCTGTATCTGCTCAGATGAAGGAAGGAGGGACAGCAGCGTGGTGTCAATGCTCCGAAACAAATGACAGAGACTGAAACCTTGCCTCTGTCACATGTGCCCTTGGGTAAAGGAGTTGCTACTGTCTCGAAGCCTCTCGTTCCCAATCTGTAAAAGGACATAATAGTATTTGCCTCCTATGATTACAAAATAACACATGCAGTGTACGTGGGATCACGTGGGTTTTAAAGAAATGGTTGCGCTTTTTATTTGTGACATTCTGACACCCCTAGGAAGGCTTAGGACATGCGCTAGTGGGGCACTGCCACGGCTTCAATGTGCCCCTCAAGTCCAGGCGTCAGAGGCTTGATCCCCAATGCCATAGTGTGGGGAGAAGGACAGGAGGCACCATGAGTGGATGAATGGATCCCTGTGTGATTAAGGAGTGGGTTAGTTACGACAAGCGTGCGCTGTAATCACACCATGGTCAGCCCCTCTTGCCCTTGCACTTGCTTGACTTCTACACTTGGCATGGGGTGATGGGTCAGTACTCCCGATCTTCCAAGCTCCTTGAACTGTGAGTTAAACAGATTTTGTTCTATATAAATTACCCAGTATTCCACAGAGCAGCAGAAAATGAACTCAAGCAGTTATTAACACGTCCTTGTAAGAGAAGATTTCTTGGAACAAATGTCAGCTGACCTGAGACGTGACACTGATGATAGTGAGTGCACCATGGCTGGAGAGTGGTCTAAGAGCTACTGGCAGGGTGGAGAACGGAATCTCTGATTTTTTTCTACGGTACTGCAGACTAGCAAATGACTTCCATAAGATAGTACATGCAAAGACCACCCCGTACAACTCAGAAAACTAAAGCAGCACCTTTATTTTATACATACAAACAGTATAAAATGTTTATTATGTAAGAGCTGTGTTTTGTTTAGAATATATTATATTGCTTCAAGCCAATGCAAAAACTTCATACATTATATTCCCTATTTCATCATGTTTACAATATATTATATTGTTTAAATGCTACTACCACAGTGTAATTTTGGGGGTGTTTTTTTCTTCAATATTGAAGTCAGTGGAATAATGGTAAGGTCAAATATATTGTATGAGAGCTTAAAAATACAGTCAGTAAAAATATGACAAATACCTAAATATATGACAATAAAATTTGAAATATTGTAACCTCAACCCTTTTAACTGCTTCATCCAAACCCTTGTGATTTATGCATTTTTGCCCAGTTTAACCTCTCCAATCTTCCCCAGCCCCTCAACACCATGACTGTATTGTAATTTTGCAAAAACCTGCCGACTACACACTGGAAAGACAAAATTTGAACCTGACCAACTGACATAATATAAAATCTGTCCCAAAGGACTGAAAGAAGAAAATCTATACCATCATGCTACAGACATACTCAGGAAACTTAAAAAGAGGAGTAAATATCAGCTCAGTGATTTATAATGAAGCTAATAAAATTCAGGCCAGTATTCTTAAGTGTAATGAACATTATTTGAACACTGAACACATGAAAGGTTAACAAAGGCTATGAACTTGGCGTAATTTAAAACGTTTCAGATGTCGTAGTTCACCAGATGTAATTGGATTCAGGTGGATCCTGCGGCTCCTCAGCCTTTTTAAGTGAAGGCGTGTGCTGCTGCTGGAGCCGGGCGCCTGGTGGCCTCAGGGCATGCAGGAGGCTGGCTCCGTACCCTGCAAAATTATTCACAGCTTAAAAGAAAAGAAACTACAAAAACAGGCTCCTCAGATTCATCATTAGCCATTCAAATGAAATCTATTTTCCTTTTCAACTGAGAGTGAAAGAGCGCCATGACCACAAAAAGCTACCTGAATGAAGACATGCTATAGATCCAAGCTCCCTGTTCAAGGAAACCCGCTTCACAAACTCCATCAGACACGCCATCTGTTGGATTTCTCACTATATATTTTGGCCAGTGTGACTGAGTGGAACGGCATTCTCCACCCAGGGCTGGTCAGGATCTAGCCCTGAATTCTCCAATGCTTCTGCAGAGGATTTGGTCATTCACTGATCCCTTTCAAAAGGTTTCAAAAGCAACTCAGCTTATATTGATCCAACTCAATTTAACAAGCTAAATTCGTCGTGTAGATCCCACAATGAAGTGTGGCTGGTGCCCTCATACAAAACACGAATTTTATAAAAATTAAACGGTTATGATTTGAACTGATTCTTTTTGGGATTTGTGCATTTCGGTCAAGGCAGTATCTGTCCATTTCCTCCTCAACTTTAAGTGCGATGTAATACTGAGTTCGCAGCTTGAGGCTTCTATGTGTGAGCTTTTCGAGGTGCTGGGGGCCCTGACTCATTTCTGCTTTCCTAAAACTGATCCAAGAGAGCAATTATGTACTAGAAGTTTGTCTCCATTTTCCTGTGCATCCGAGTGAAGCTTGGCATTTGTTTGTTCCTGGTGGTTTTTAAACACAAGCCTTGTGTCAAACAACCACAAAGAACAGAGTGTTTTTTCTGAATGTGCATCTCTGAATTGTCAGCATGCAGGCTAGTAGCTCATGCGATGGTCAGTGTGTGAGCCAACAATGCTCTGGAGTAAATCCCTACCATGCCGCTTGACTTGCCACCCATGAAGCCCAAACCTCCCAGCTGGGAAGAGCGAGCCCAGGCAGGGACGTCTGTCTCCAGGACCCTCCTTCCCGCCGGGACGCCTGGGTGCCCGGGACCTCCCAACGTGTGAACCCACTGGGAGTTTATTCTTAGCAGAACTCTGTGACTCAGAGCTTCCTTGACACCTCCGTCTGGTAAAAATAAATCCCATTCTTTCAGCTTGATTATTTTAGTTAACGTTTTACATGGTGGGGTGGTCTTGCCTGGAAAACATGTATGCATTTGGATCAGGCACCGAGGTAGTGGGTTCAGTGCCTTGCTCTCAAAGAGGTATAATGGTGGCAGATTAAGCAGTGTGGTCTACAGTTGGGGCTTACGTGGAGGTGCGCGGACGTGTCGGTCATTTACCCATTGCTCTGTTACAGAGAAGCCCTACACTTGGTTACGTTTTGGAAAAGTAACTGGGAGTGCTGGTGGAAACGGTGGCCTCACGCCCCCTCTCATCGTTCCTGACGGTGACCAAGCCCATGTGTGAGACCCAGAGACCTTTGCAATGGAGCACTGGCATGTATGCTCTGATCTCAGGCCCAAGGACTCACGGGTCCCTAGGCGCAAGGACTTCTGGAAAGTGACTCTGATTTTGGGGCAAGCCTTGGGCTTTGTAACCAGCCGAGGGTAGCATAAAAGGTGTGGCTTACTCTTTTCCGAAGCTCTAGAAATGATTAGTCTCCTATAGGTGTCTTAGTCCACAAGTTTCCCCAAAAGTGTGTTTCAGTGGGGATGCAATTCACCTATGACCACTGTGTGAAGAGCTTCTTCCCAGTGGAGCCGCGCCTCGTCCTGCGCTGTGCTCACCTGAAACTCCTTCACTCAACCACCCAGCCAGAGCAGCGAGTGCAGAATAATCAGGTCAATGGCTTAGTTCCCCTAAGCAGACACCAGGTTACCGCAGACAAGCATGTACGCCCACACGTAAATGTACTATATATCTATCAGAATAATGTAGTGTGAACCTTATAAAGTATGCACAAGTTAGAAATTAGAAAGTGTGCAATAAATGCAAATATTTATATACTAAATGTCTCTGTACATAAATATATAAAATAATACAAAATGTTGAAAATACTTAAATACAACTTCCCTCATTAGGTAGACTAATAATTCCCACACTCACTGGACTGTGTTCGCCACTTTGTGTAGATCACTGATTCAGGAAAATATCTGCAGTGTAATCTGTTCAGTCTGCACCCATTACTTTGGACACACAATGTGACGGGCACACCTGGACTTCTGTTACTGAGGAAAGTTACATGGGGGACACCCTGGTTTCCTCAAAGTAAGTGGACAGTGAGCCATGCTTAGGGCACTGAGTTCCAGGTGCCAGAAGTACTAACTGGTATTTTGCTCACTTTTCAATTGAGTTTCCCTCCCACTGGAACATGAACTCCGTGAAATGTGGTCTTCTCTTTCTGACCCCTCATGTGTCCCCATGGCCTGGATGTTATGGTTTGTGTCTGGATGTCCCCGCAAAGCCTCACATAGGCATGGGCAGGTTTCTAGAGTTTATGATTGATTCACGGTCCAATGCTGGGATTATGGGTGTGAGCGCCACACTCTCTGTGGGGTGGATAGTTTGCATACAGTATCAAGGAGGGAAAGAGGCTGCTTGCTGCAGCTCCTCCCCTTGTGCTCGGGTTGTTTTTGCTGTTTCCCACTCCAGTGAACTGTCGCTCTCTGCCATGTGCCACTCTGCCTTGGAGCCGGCTGAGTATGGACTGAAACAGACTGTGAGCTAAGTAAACCTTTCCTTCCTTCATTTTGGGTGTCAAGTATTTTGTCTCAGCAACGACAGAAAAGTAACCAAGACATTGGGTTTCTGCTTAGCACAAAGGAGACACCAATCAACACTGAATGGCTGGATTGATCATGCTCCATTTCATGTTTAAAACAGTCTAGTGATTTATCTGTATTACTATTTCATATCTGGTAGTCAGGAAATTTGAGAAAATGCAATTCCACTGTAGCAACTCTACCACAGAGAGCTTCATATACCTTTCCTTTCCCTCAAAAGATCTTACTTAAAATATTACATCTAATATAATTTAAAGATTTTAAAAAGCAAAACTCTTCACATTTTGTATGTGTTGCTAAATCTTGAATTTTAACACCAGAGGTAAGTAGATACTAATTCTACATTTGATGTAAAATCTTAAATTTAGATGATCACTTCTTTCATAGTTAAGATACTGTATTACCAAATTAACCTGCATCACTAATTTAACCTAGGAAAAAGCGTGGCTCTATTTCACAGGTCTGGTGACATTTGACTTGATGTTTTTTGTACCCTAAAGCTTAGATTCAGAGAAAAAGGGGTGGGGGGTCACTGCTTGTTACTTGGTAGGCAGAGATGAGTTATGGGATGTCTATTAGCCTGCAGAGCCAGAAGAACTGAGAGAGGCTGGTGCTCTGACGGTCTCTCACTCACTTTTATTGCAGTGCCTTCCATGCCAACCTTCCTGACACTGGCATTTGTTGGGTTCGTGGCAGGTTCCATGTGCACCGCAGCCAGGCTCACAGACAGCTGGAATCAGAGGAGAAAAGGTTTTCTGTGCTTTCTCGTCGCAACAGAAGTACATGGCTACTTTTCCTGCAGTTCTGTAGAACGAGTTAAATTTGCCTTCATTCCCTATTTTTTCCCCTAAGTCAATCTCCAGGTAAAAGTCAATTTTTGACTTTTTGAAAATTCCTAAGAGTGATCTTAGACTAAGCATCCTGTTTCTCGTTCACAAAAGATTCTCCGTAGAACTCTGCAACTACTGGTCTGTGGAAGTTTATTTTCTTTAAGAAAAATCCCTGATAGGTTTTTAAAGAAAAAACACGTGTGTAAATTTTGCAAGCATGGATTCCACACACTGCCACTGGTCTGCATAAAGGAGACACATACATCAGAGAAGAAAGGTTAACCGTGATGCGTAGAACACATGCGACAGGCATGGGAATTACGAGGTAAGAGAAGGCGGTACTTCAGTTGTACGGTTCCCAGATTGCCAGGTCCCTGGTACTTACGCTTAGAACACAGGTCTCCTTGATAGCCTTTGGAGCACTTACATTTACTTCTACCGATGCATTTACCTCCATTTCGACAGGGTTGTGAGCATCTGCCTGAAATAGAGAAGAATGCAGGTAAGAGGGAGTCAGGGCTTCACTGAGTGGAAACTACGTCTTTCAACAGAGTGACAAGGCTTTGAGAAGGGAAATGCTTTTATTTTTTTATTTTTTATTTTTTATTTTTTGGTTTTTCTCCGGTACCGGGAACCGAACTCACGACCTTGCGCTTGCCAGGCAGGCGCTTTTGCCACTGAGCTAAATCCCCAGCCCCGGGAAATGCTTTTAAATGGTAGCTGTTCCAACTTATTTCAGGTCGACTCTGGCCTTTATATTGATTTTTATTTTTGAAACAGATAAGCTAACACCTTTACTTATGATTTTGTATCTATATCTTTTTCTATAATAAATATTTTACCAAAATGCAGTATTTCCATTACCATTTTTATAAATAATCTTTTATCTGACTCAAGTAATTTAGGATATACCCTACTAAAAGCTAATATATGAATGATGAAGAATGTCCCACTAAATTAACTCCTTTTTTTTTGCTTTTTAGGACAGGGTCTTGCTCTGTAATTCAGGCTGGTCTTAAACTCACTATGTAGCTCAGGCTAGCCTCAAACTCACAGGAATCCTCCTGCCTCAGCCTCCCAAGTGCTTAGATTACAAGAGTGCATATGCCGTCATGCTTGGCAATTATCTTTTCTTGAGTCCTAGTTTTGGAATGTTACTTTTCTAAAAGCAGGCCTATACCTGTACCCGATGATATATCTTTGCTTAGGATCCTCTTGGAAGCAGAGCCTGTATTCTGGGCAAATGTAGAAAACGAATGGAATCTTTGTCCTCACCCAACTCAACTATGACTCCAGCTAAGGAAAGTGCTGTGTGTTTGTTTTTGAGACAGGATCTCCCTATGCAGTTCAGGCTGGCCTTGAACTCACAGCCATCCTCTTGCTTCAGCCTCCCAAGTACTGGGATTACAGGTGTGAACCACCCCCCTTGGCAGGAGAGCTTTCAAAGAAGCACACTAGCATATATATTTACTGACACGTGCTATTCCTGACAAACAGTGAAAATCATCTTACTAAAAACACTTTTCTTCTCACTTACCCAGCAGACTTCATTTGTGTATAAACTGATCAAAGCAGCATTCATTCATTACGGAGACATTACAGGTATAATAGTATTGGAATGTTAGTGTCTCTTACAAACCCCGAATACCACTGGACTTCAAGTGTTTTCCTGAAGCCAATGTATTCCATGAAAAATAATTAAAACAAACTTTATAATAGAATACTACCTTTTTGTTGACCAAGAAAAGTCCAAAAAAGTCCCTTTTGCTGGGTTTAGATATAAGAATATCATTTACTCTTTAGTTAGATTTCAACTCTTACCTAAAAGAAAGGAATATCTCAGTCCAAGTTTCTATTTGCATCAGAGAAACATCTGACCCTAGGCACACAGATGCACAGAACTGGATTACAGCACAGTATTCTGGGAAGCACCGGGTTTTTTCAGACAAACAAGATGTGAGATAATTGCATGGCAGGAAAGACCGAGCACTTAGATGTAGAACACTTGGTAAGCTCAGAGCTTCCCACGCCTGTGAGCGGTGAACTTGGTAGCCGGAATATTGCAGAGAACGAGCTGTGCGGAGAACCTTCTCGATTCTACAGGCCTTTTTCCGTCTCAGCGAGTGGGAAATGAGGACCCTCGGGCTCGCTGAGCCAGGAGGAGCGGTGTTCTCCTCTCCTGGTTGTTATTGTGACTGCAGAAGATCATTAGAAGGTGTGAGCCAAATTTTACAATTTCACTGGCTTAAAATTCAGAATCCTCTAAGTGTCTTTAAGCCTGATTTTTCTTCCCCTGAAAAGATTTGGCCAAAATTCTATCTATCGGACAATGGAAAAATAAGCCAACCTGGGAGGTTATGTATTTGTACCCAGAAAGACTAAGTGTTACCGAAAAAGATACCCAAATTTGGTAAGTTTAAACAGCATTTTTAGTAAAGCCGGTAGAGACAGCCTTGGGAAAGTGATGTCATAAGGAATTTAAAAATGAAGACATGTGGGACAACTCCTGTTAAAAGAAGGCGTGTCAGCAGTGACGAGGAGCACGCCGTAGACAGCTGCACCAGTGACGCCGAACAGGAAGCGGGGAGCGCCTGACCCCGATTAGCACATCAGCCAATGAGACAAGAGACAAGAGACTCCTCCATTATCCACCCAGGAACGGGGCAAGATCTTCCTTCTCCTGAAAACAGCTCTGTGAAAGAATACAGCCCGGAAGCTCCGTCTTCATTTTCAGAAGACGTGTCAGATATCAGGTCAGAGCACGCAGAGGGCCAGTCTAACAACGGCACATGTGAAGACTGCGAAGAATTCAAAGCTCTCCACTGCTCCCAGGATTCTTCCTGGCCGAGGGAGAACCCAAGCTCCCCTCCACTTCTGCCTCTGGAGCTCTGTCTGACTTCGTGGCTGGAGAAGCTGCGATGGCCATGTTCGGCCCTCCCGGGACCCCGGGGCTGCTTTGTCACTCAGTCGCGGCCACTCCAGAGGAGTCTGGCGTCGCATGCAGCAGCATGACATATCAGATGCTCTGCAGGACCATGGCATCTGCAACCCATGTGGCCAGAGGCTAGCTGGGCAGGGCACCCGCCGGCTTCTTGACTTCAGAGGCGGCACGTCTACCTGTAAGTCCCGCCCGCAAGCTGCTAGCGCAGGTTTTGCTTACTTGTTTCTGTGCCGCAGTTTGTTCAGTGCTCTGCTTGAATGGTAAGACAGGTTTACAGGTTTAACTCTTGTCAGGCACAATTCCAGATGAAAAAACTTGCATCTTCAGCACACTTCCAATCAGATAACGGGTATGTTTTACGTAATGAAAAAAGAGTTCACTGTAGTAGCTTTTATTTAATATAGATGTCTAGGGTAAGCAGGGGTCCCCAGCTCTGTACAATGCAGTTTAAACGTAACAGCATTTTTACTGTGTATAATATGGTGTCCTTTGGACCTTATAATAGAGGCAGATTGCCTCCAACGGCTGTGAGTTTTATTATCAAAATTAAGTTTACTTGCATGTGGAACAGCCACAAGAAATCTGATTCTGTAAAGAATCCTCTTTAGCTGTGGCCTCGTGGTCTATAAATGGTGCTTTATTTAACAGAATATCTGTGGAGGAAATAAATCACACTTGATGAATAAAAAAAAAAGACACTAAACTTCTTCCACCTATGTGATTGTGGCTTAATTTAAATTTGTGATGCACAGACAAAAAAGTATGATGCCCGCACCCATCACCTCTGGGTCTCAGCTAATTTTTAACTGTTTTCTCCAATATACTAAATTTTTTACAAAGAACATTTTAAAATTTTATTTGTAATACAACATAAGTCATTTATGTGGCCTTTTATTTTTTATTTTTTGGTACCAGGAATCGAACTCAGGACCTTGTGCTTGCCAGGCAGGTGCTGTGCCACTGAGCTATCTCCCTGGCCCTATGTGGCCTTTTGTTTGTTGTTTGTTTGTGGTACTGGGGATCGAACTCAGGACCTTGTGCTTGCCAGACAGGCGCTTATACCACTGAGCTATATCCCCAGCCCTATGTGGCCTTTTAAAATGAGGACTTCATTAGAGATTTTTGGGAAATTTATGAACCCTAAATGATGACATGAATGTGCATCCAACTCTCTAGAAATCTCCAACCATGGTTTTACTTGTTAGCTGTAAGAATATCTCACAATCAGGTTAGAAGAATGTTTGAGAAGGTACCATTCCTGACAGACATCAGAAGAAAGCAAAATAAATGATACCAGAACACATTGTTCATTTAAAAAAAGAAGAATCAGTATTATGATGCTGTGGAGAAACTGAAGCTGTTGCACATTTGGAAACAGTCCAACAATTCCTCAAACATCGTATGATTCAGCAGTTCCACTTGGTGTGTATATCCAAGTACACACACACACACACACACACACACAGTGTGCACATAAACGTTCAGATGGTATTCATAACCCTTCTGTAGAAACAGCCCAAATGTCCATCAACTCATAATGCATAAACAAAATGCGGTATATCCATATGATTGAATAATATTCAGCAGTAAAAAGGAAAGATGCACTGATACAGGCTACATCATACGTGAGCCCTAAAAACGAGCAAATGTAAGTGAATGAAGCCAGACACAAAATGCTGTATATTGTACGCTTCCATGTACATGAAATGTTCACAACAGTGGGTTTTGGCTGGCAGGATGTGGGAGGAGAGGGCCATGGGGACTGACTGTTCATAGGTGTGGGCGCTTCTCGGAGTGACAAAATATTCTGAAATTTGACAGAGGTGATACGAAGACTGCACAATTTTGTGAAGGTACTGGATGGTAGATTTAATGTTGAATTTTATGATACATGGATTGTATCTTAATTTAAAAATAAGAATACATAATTCAACTATGCTTTTTCATCTGTGTATTTTTAGAAGCATTTTTCAACTCTAGGTCCATGTGCATTTTTTACTGGTAATGTGGTTCCTGTTAAAGAAACAGGAAATTTCCTAAAAGGATTTGAGTAAAACTTGTGGTCAAACAATTGGGAGTTTTCGAAGACCTAGGTTTTCGGCAGAGCTAGAAAACAAAACAAAACAACAACAAACGGGAATAAAAAACACTGTCTCTGCCAATGGAAAGCCCATAAACCCAGGTGTGAGGAGACACACACACATGAAATGAGCCGACGGGGCAAAGACTCGTAAGCACAAACCAGCTGAGAGTGCAGTGTCTGGGGGGAGGGGAGGAGGAAGTCCAAGGGGGTCAGTTCAGAGATGTCTTTATCAGGAAGGGTAATTAACAAGAACAGAAACCACATCCTGGCAATTAATTACATGTCTATGGGAATTTCAGAGGTGTTTCATTCGAACTCTGTAAAAAAAAAAAATGGTTACTTCATCTACTAGGACTCATTAAAGTATAAAAACCCACAAATAAATTAGAGGTTGAAAATTAAAACGGGGATTTGGTATTATGCAATTCTGAAGCTCCTGCAACCGGAAGCACTGCAGCTGAAGCAGACACGGCGGTGCGCTACAAAAAGTCTGTGGAAGTGGGGGTGCTGACCGGGTGCTCTCAACACACAGCAAAACGGCAGCGCCACGGACTCTTCGGGGCCCACTCCTTTCCTCGCCCTCCTTCCTGGGCCTGTGCTCTGCTGCGGCCTTCCAGGTCATATAGCAGTATCGTAGGATGGGTTGTTTCACTTCTGAGTTTCATAGGGAGAGTAAGTGACTTGCTGAGGTCCACGTGGCTGGGAGGTGGCAGAGCTGGGACAAGCAGGGCGGTTATACGGTTCCCTAAACAGCGACCGTCTGAGAAGCACACAGCGAGGGCAGAAGGTGCACCTACCTTAAGTTTACAGCTCGACTATTTTTTTTTTTACATAACCACTCTTGTGACACTTCACCCATCAAGACCCAGTGTCTCAGCACTCCATGAAGTTCCGCTGTGGCCCCAACTGATTCTCATTTCCATCGTTATCCAGTAGTTCTGACTATTCTCGAGCTACAAAAATTTGGAATCAAGTACCTTTTTTTTTTTTTTTTTTTTTTTGCATCTGGCTCCATCACTTGACAGATCTGTGGGATCCACTAACTGCTGTTAGTCTGTGCTTATTTTTTGCTGGTCCCCTTTGATCTCCCTTTTCTTGGGTCTATCCTTTCAGGCGGGTTATGAGGCTCACTCTAGCCCAGGATATCTGGCAGTGAGAGGAGGGGAAAGCCCTCTACACCCGTGGGCCGGTGAGCGCGTCTCGGCTGTCCTGAAGCTCTCGTCCACACTTACGAGAGTGTAGACCTTATACGAGCTATGCACGCTTTCTGGGCTTTAGATTCCTCACTGGGAAAATGAAGAGTTAGATGAAGTTTCTGTGGCTCCAAAGAAGAAAAGAGAATTTAATACTCACTTATCTCACACTGTTCTCCTTCTAGCCCTGGAGGGCAGATGCACTTTCCCGGGTAGAAGCAGGTCCCTCCATTAAAGCAAGTGGTCGAGCAGTTTGCTGTTAAGATGAAGGACAGGGTGCTGCGTGAGACAGCAGGTTAAACCTAACTTAAAAACTCTGCTTATGGCGAAGGATACTTCCTAGGCATCTGTACTTTCTCTTTACTTAATAAAGCCGCTTTACAAATATAAACGTGTAACCAATTGATTCAGTTATGCAAAATAACTTTCAAAATCAAATTACAACTACTTGATGTCAGAATACAGTAGCATACGATAGGATATCACCGTATGTTATCTCTCTCCCACTCCTAGGAGTTTAATATCTTAATTTTAGAAAGGCACAGTGTGTTAAAAAAGTTCTTTTCAATTTTTAAATAAAGCCTATGTCCTTAGAGAAGAATGCTATAAATCCAAGGAAATGTTTTGAAAAATATCTTATTGGAGATAAAGGAAGAGTAAAAAGGAGAAAATTTGGAGGGGTGAAGCCCAGTGACGGAGCGCTTACCTAGCATGTTGGAGACCTTGGGTTTGACCTCCAGTACTGAGAAAAAGTACACATGTCCAAAAAAACTTTCTTTAAAACAAATTATAGGAAAATAAGCCATAAATATTGGGATTCAACAAAAGAGAAAGCAGCTGTCTTTCAGAATCATAGGAACAGAGATTTATTTTACCTGGCAGGCTCATTTATTTATTTATTTATTTGTCTTTTGAGACAGGGTCTCTCTATGCAGTTCAGGCTGGCCTTGAACTCACTATGTAGCCCAGGCTGGTCTCAAACTTGCAATGATCCTCCCGCCTCAGCCTCCGGAGTGCTGGGATTACAGGTGTGTGCCACCGTGCCCAGTTTAGGATTTTTAAAAATATATCTGTATGAGAAAGGCGTGATTGTATTCAGAAAAAATGCAGACTGTGAACCCTTGAGAGACCCCGTAGGCAGGGATTTGGCAGAACCTGAGCTGTAGGCTTAAGGTTAGATATATGATAGTGGGAGTCCGAGTAACGACATTATCTCGGTACTAATAGTCACACTGTGACTCACCCTAAACCAGAGATGGGGAACCTTTCAGAGATGAGCCCCCAAACGGCAACCCCAAACCCACTGATTTGTCATAAAGTGACAAAGCTGCAATTAAATCCCAATATTGAGGTTTCAGTTTAAAAAAACAACTCATACATTAACATCTTCTGTCTTAAAAGAAAAACAAATAACACACATGCCATAGATCTGCCGTCTCTGTCCTAAGCCCCCTCTCTGTGTCAGTTTCTGGAATCTCACAGACTGCTGGCACCTTAAACACAGGGAGAACAGGGAAATGGAAACAGGAGAGACGAACCACTTAACAGTAGACAAGTTGGCTATTTCTGTAAGAAAAGATTAAAAGTGGAGCTTGGATTTTTAGCAATTTCAGTTACTCTACCTGTTTGTTCTTATCCCATACAAAATGTGCCAAAATTGGCTATAGATGAACAGAAGCTAAAGTAAGCTTCCAATAGGAAAATCAGAAAGGAAAGCCAAAAGTTACATGTTTGCTTTTTTTGTGGAAAAGAAGTCCAACCCAAATGTTCTACGAGTACTAGGCCTCTTAAATGATAAAGCTAGTGTTTAAAATCACAAGCGTCTCACAGCTTCAGGCAATGCTATGTTCATTCTGGGAAGACTAAGTGTCCTGATACAGCGAGGAGCAGTAGCCTTTCGGTGCAGGACCAGGATTCAGGGGGTCCGGCTCCCTGGGCTTCCTCTGCGCTACTTTCCGCTGGTATTGCTCAGGCTGGACAACTGCATTCTATGTCCCATTTCCTTCCTTTTCCTATTTCTCCCAAGGATAAGAGGAGATAGGAAATACTGGGATTAGTGTTCTCTTGGCCCATGTCCCCGTGGCCACTGCCCCCTACTAATAAGCGAAATACTATAAGCCTGGTAGTTTACCTAAAACTAACAGAACTTGATAAATCTGATGATATAATTTGGCCACATTCTTAGGACTTGTATCAGAGTTTACCATCCTGACCAAGCTTCTCCACATTTCTGCAACGGTTTGGATATGGGTTGAATGCATTCCCCTGGGCCAGATGCTGCAAGCTTAGTCCCCAACGTGCAGTACGGAGAAGAGATGAAACTTTCAACAAGTGGGACTTATTGGAAGGCATTCTATTAGGATGGAGCCACTGACCTCAGGAAGGATTGATGTAGTTCTACGGGACCTCGGTTAGTTTGCATGAGAGCAACGTTTTATAAAACGAGCAAGCCCAGCCCTTGAATCTTTCTGTGTCTTGCCTTGCCAGGCAATTCCTCCCTCTTCCAGGTTCTCCTACCATGTTGCCATACACCGTGTTGTGATGTATCCACAAGGCCCGCACCAGAAGCAAGCAAATGCTGGTGAATCGCCAGATGCATGAGTTTCATTAACCCTTTCTTATAAAGTACTCACCCTCACATATTTTATTATAACAACACAAAAAGATTCATAGAATTTCTGTTGTGCAATGAGCCAGCAACACTAAGTAACTTTCACTGGGATGAGGGGATATTGGCTAATACTTAGCTGTTCATTTCCTAGAGTTTAAAGCAGATGTCTCCAGGGCCACTGAAGATCATTCTTTAATATTTATTACAGCATATTGTGCTAAGGCCTAGTTCTGTGCTTGTAATTAAATGATATTTCAGAAGTTCCATCCTCTCTCCTCGATAATAAAAGCATGTTTTTACTGAGGTAGTAAAACGTATTTTTTAATGTTTTCAAATCTCTAATAAGACCAAGTAGAATTTCAACACACTTTCCAAAAGAACTGAATAAAAATTGCTGGAGTCTAATAAGTAGGAAAGTCTTTCATCTGAATGATACAAAATTATGATATATAAAAATACTAGAACATAGATAAATATATTCATTAATAATCATGAACTTTGTGACACAATAACATTAGAAAAACATTGCAATGATATTCCATAGTGCAAACCATACCGATAGTGACCACATTTACATAAACAGGACTCACTCATGTTTTATTTAAATCTACAAATATGAGTTATTCATCCAAATTTCTCAAGGATTTTATTTTTTGCCTCGTACATTTCACATAATCTGAGTTTAATTTTGCTTCAAGAAATACCCAATTTTGAAATAGCAGAGATGCCACGTGCTAAACTTAGACAAACAGAAGATTCACAATAAACAATTTTATTCTGTTAACTATTGTCAGTGTCATTAGGATTTAAGCTCTATGAATGCACATTTAAAAATTTTAACATCGTTTTGTCTCCCTAGCATAAGAAACTGAAAGAGTAAATGAGATCCAGAATCTACAATAGATACTGTGAAAGGGAAAGAAACTGCTCAAAAGGAAAGAACAACTGGGATGGGAGAAAAGAGAAAAGAAGAAAGGGAAAAGA